CCTACCAACCAATGGTAAAGTAGCACTATCTAAAGGAGGAGGAAAAGAACAAAGACTTTTTGAGTAGGTAGATTGCTCGTAATTGCTTGCTCACAAATTAAAACCATTTCCATACCTCACACTTTCAAAAACAAACATCTTTTCAAACACTCTCTTTCTAAACAAATATTTTATAAAAAAAAACATTTTGTATACATTTTCAACGATATGAGAATCTTTGCAAAATTGCCGCACTAAGGCATTTTAAAATATTTCCAAAAACAAATATTTAGTATACATTCTCAATGATACGAGAATCATTGCAAAATTACCACTTTCTAAACATCTTGAAAACATTTTCAACTTACACAAAACACAAAGCATTTTTAAGTGATCAAGAAATTAAGAGCCCGTAGATAACTACAAATGAAAATGGTTTTAACACCTTCCCTTTTCATAACCTACCCCCCCCCCCCCCCCCCCCCCCCCCCGAACTCAAGAAAATTCTCAAAAGGTCTTTCCTATTATTTTCACCCTTTCCTTTATTGGATAAAAGATAAGTCGGTGGCGACTCTTGCTGTCTGCAATATTTGCGATTAAACGCAAAACACCCAAGTCAGTTCTCCCACCGTATCACAATGTCCCTCGCCCAAGAAGTAAGTGTGTCAAATCTAAAATCCAAAAGCGACTCTCAGAAGGTGGATAAGTAAGTCGTCGATGAGTATCAGGAAAAATAGCCTTAGCTTATCAAACATTTAAAGAAAGTATTTGACATGTTTGAGAGTTTCAAAACTTTTGAGCTAATGCATGTGCCTAGGCAACATAATTTTAGGGCATACTTGTTGTACAAGCTTGTCAATTCGAAGAAAAAATGGTGCAACTACAGTGTAATACAAGAAACACTATCCATCCCTATAGGGGAGGCAAACACTATCGATATCGCCCATGTTGGCAGTTGGATGACACTTATAATTCATTACCTGCAGTCGAGCGAACTACCACAAGATAAGTTAGAGGAAAAGAAAATCTGTAAACATGCAACAAAGTATAATCTAATGTTAGAGAATATCTATAAAATGGGAAGAGCCTCTCCCGTGTGAAGGTTCCTAGTGAAGACGAAATCACCATGGTCATAGATGAAATTCATCAAGGGACTTGCGACAGCCATATTGGTGGGCCATCCTTTGCCCATAAGATGTTAAGAGAAGGTTTTTTTTTGCCTTCAATAATGAGGGACATCATGGCTTTTATCAATAAATGCGACAAATTCCAGAGGCATGCTAATTTATACCATACACCAATTGAACTCCTCAATTATGTTACAATTCCCTGGACATTTTACTAGTGGGGAATGGATATTCTAAGACCTTTTCCTATAGCTCCCAACCAACTAAAGTTCCAGATCATGGGAGGAGACTATTTCATTAAATGGATAAGGGTGGAAGTTGTATCCAAGACTACGACAGAAAGGGTCCGTCACTTTTAATGGAAAAGGATTATGTGTAGGTTCGGTTTAGCAGGAATTATCATTTCATAAAATGGAATTTAATTCTTCAGTACTGCCATGGTCTATTTTTGTAATAATTAGGGGTTCAAACCATGTTCGTTTCAGTCGTTCACCCACAAATGAATGTGCAGTCAAAATCAGAAAATAAAGTAATACTGGAGGATATCAAGAAGAAGTTGGATGACGCCAAGGGATTATGGGCTGAGAAGATGCACGAAGTGTTGTGGACATATCACACCACCCTTCGCTCCACCCCTACAAAAACTTCCTTCACACTAGTGTATGGGGAAAACACAATGTTGTGTTCGAAATCGACACACCATAATGGCGAAGCTCTTAGTTTAATGAGGAAGAAAATGAGTCAGGGTTAAGATGTGTTGCTGACCTAATTAATGAGACAATAGACATTTCCCACATTCGAGAGTTCACCTTTAAACAAAAAGCATCTAGAAGATATAACTTCAAGGTGGTTCAAAGAGCGATGTGAAAAGGTTATCTAGTGCTACGACAAGTCATCGTGCCCTTCCAATATGGAAAGCTGCAACCTAACTGTGATAGATTGTATCATATATATAAGAAGTTTCTTTACGAAGCCTACAAGCTCGAAACGTTGGATGGACAAATCATTCCCAAAACTTAGGATTGATTCAATCTAAGATATTATTATAGTTGATTGGCAGGAAAGCAATCAATCTGATATTTGCAGCAAGTTATTATGGTTTGACTCTGAAATTAAATTGTTGGAGTTCAACACAAAGATCCTTTTCACCCTATGAGGTAATTAAATTGATGGACTTGCATAGAAAGATTCTTGTTGCTTTACATATTAGTTAAATTTGTAGACTCTCACGAGAAGGTCCTTGCTACTCTATGGGGTAATAAACTGTTAAACTTCCACAAAAAGATCCTTGCCGCCTACAAGTAGCTAAAATACATATATATTTTACAACCTCAAGGAGGAACTCAAATAAGACTTGATTTAGTCTCTCTTGAGGGACTCAACCAAGTATCGTTAAAAAGACTCAACTAGGCCTCTTCAAGAAGACTCGACTCGCTCTCGCCCAAGGGACTTAACTAAGTCTCACTAGAAAGACTCGACTTAGCATCTCCTAAGGGAAACAACTAAGTCTTGCCAAAAATACTAGACCATGTCTCGTCAGGAAGACTCAAATCAGTCTTGTCTGGTGGACTCAACTAAGTCACACCAGAAAGACTCGATTGGGTCTTGTCAAGAGGACTTGACTCAGTCTCACATGAGGGACTCATCTAAGTCTCTCAAGAAAGACTAAACTAGGTATCATCAGGATGACTCGACTCAGTCTCGCCTAAGGGGCTCAACTAAGTCTCTCCAGAAAGACTTAACTAGGTCTTGTCAAGAAGACTCGACTAAGTATTATCACGATAACTCGTTCATTCACGTATGAGGAACTCGACTAAGTCTCACTTCAGGGACTCAACTATGTTTTGAGAACTGAGGTATGAATAAATTCCATTAGGTGTGGAGATATATGGTGTTTAGTTTTCTCTATTTTGTGCTTTTGTGGATTATTTTATTGTATATGACTCTTTGTGGATGCAAAGCTTGTCTTTATATTGACCTTGTGTTTTTCTTCTAATAATTCCATTTATGCAGTGGGAACCTTTTTTTTACATGGATAAGTATGAACCAAAACTCGGAAAGAGATATGAGATAATTATGTTGTGTGGGTGGATCAAAAGAAACTAGACATTGTTTCAACCTTCGTTGGTGAGGGTGGCCTAGACCACGTCTTTAGTGAAATGGATCCTCTCTTAAACTAAAGAGTGTTTCTTTATGAAGAGGATGTGAGTATTTGTAGTAAGATGATGGATACATCATTCATCTTCACAAATGTATGTTTTCTTTGATAGGTTTCTGTCTCCCTTTCAATTATTTTGAAGTGGACGTTCTGAACCATCTAGTAATTACCCATTCACAACCGCACCTGATGAATCAGGCATATATTAATGTTTTCTAATATTGGTGTGAATACAAAAAAGGTCTTCCATCTCTTTAAAACCTGACGCAGTTTGGTTGATTTAGCCTATAACAGGGTCTAATCTCCCTTAGGAAAAGTCCAAGATGTTTGAGGTTTATTCAGAGAGCGTGAAGCACTTCAGAGACGTACTTATTAGTGGAAGTAAAGAGGACATGAATATCATCTTTGGTGAATAATGCATACGACTTCCTCTTTTCTCTAGTGTTATTTAGATAACCATTATTATTTTATCTTTAATTATTCTTTAATTTGTATATAAGATGAAGTGTCATAACACGATACTCTAGATGAATAAGATGTCTAAGTTGGTTTATAATATAAGTATTTTAATTTTTTAAAAAATCAAATAAATGAAAAGTAGTTACCATTATTTATCATTTATTTAAGGTTCAATTTCAAATTTGATTCCTTTATTTTTGTTGATTCACAATAGACCCTAAGAAGAACACATTTTTAAGACTCAAACCTGAACTACTAGATCACACACACGCAAATTTTTAAATATTATTTTATATAATGAAAGAAATAAATAAAAACTTAATCAAAAGAATACTAATAATAAATTTTATTTATTGCCATGTTAAATCATCTGAGTTAATTATTATGCAGAGACATTCTATAATAGGTGTGAGTTCGAATCAACGATATTCATTTAAAAATAAATAAATTTTAATCTCGTTAAATCAATTTAATTGATAGTTGTATAGATATATAAGATGCGGAGACATGAATTTGAACTGCCACCACAACATTTGTTTATTTTTAAAGAGGTAAATTTTGACTACTGAACTATTTGACAAAAAATTATTAAAATAAAATAATTTATTTATTTAAATTATTATTATTTTGAAATATAATACTTTAGTTGGAATCAATATTTAAAATTGCAATTCACTGAAATTTAATTATTAAAATAAAATCATTTTGAAACAAAATATAAAATAAATATTTTTTTTGCCAAAAAAGTAAAATATTAGTCAAATGAACTATCCTACCAATAACATTATTAAATTAAATAACCATATTAAGAAAAAACACTTCTTTTTTACTCATCCTTATCGTACATTGCTTCTCACCAAAAAATCAGTTTTCTATAAAACAGAATCATATCTGCACAGCAAATTATTCCCATTAGATTCATCAAGAAGTTCAAAGTTATCATGTTTGCTTCTATTCTTTTAGTAAAAAGCTAAATGATAATCTATTTTATTTCATTTCTTTTTACAAAAAAATAAAAAATAATAATTTTATTCCAATTTTAAAAATTCAATTCATCTAGTAGATAAAAAGATTCCCCAAACACATAAAAGTTAAAAACCACTAAAAAATTAATTTAATTTTCACTCTACTAATTTTTTTTTCCTTCATGTCACTCAATTATAAATAGGTTCATTTCTCACACTTTCTTATAACAAAAAGCCAGAGATTCCTCTGTAGCTATCTATCAACAAAACCGTGTTTTTCTTCTTCTTCTTCCTTCAAAGCTTTTCATTATCATGTCTTCACTTTCAGATCTCATCAATTTCAATCTTTCAGATTCCACTGAAAAAATCATTGCTGAATACATATGGTGAGTTTTTAAGGTTCTTCATTTCTTCCAAAAACAGAAGATACTCTGTTTTTTTTATTTTCTGAAACAGAGTACACTGTTTTTTGTGTTCTGTTTTTTTTTTTTTATGTAATCTGAAATTTTTTGATAAACATAAACTCAAAAAAATAAAATAAATGTGAGCCTTTTTTGGATATATTATTCATTTTGATTCTAGTATATTTTAAATTAAAAAGGTTGATTCTTTTAGAATTATGATTTTAAATAAAAATTAATTTTTTATGTAATTGTGAACAGGGTTGGTGGATCTGGCATAGACATTAGAAGCAAAGCTAGGGTAAGTTTTTTTGTTAATTAATAGGTTATTATTAATCACTTATTATTAATCTATATATTAAACTTTATTATACTAATTTTTAATTATTTTTTGTGATATTGAATAATTAGACTCTTCCTGGACCAGTTAGTGACCCTGCAAAACTACCTAAGTGGAACTATGATGGGTCTAGCACAGACCAAGCACCAGGAAAAGATAGTGAAGTTATTTTATAGTATGATTAAATTTTCACTTATTAATTAATCACTTTTTTTTAAAGTTATTTTTCCAATAAACTTATTTTGCTTTTTGTTTTTTGTGTTTATTTGATGAAAAAGTCCACAAGCTATTTTCAAGGACCCATTCAGGAGAGGGAATAATATTCTTGTAAGTTGCTCATTTATTTTTGTGTGAAATAATAGGGTTGTGAATTATAGAAATTGATGAAGAAAATGGTTCCTAGTTTATTGAAATATATTTATTTATTTCTTTTGTAAAAAAATTAACTTTGTCTAGAAATTATTTAGGTGATTTGTGATGTTTACACTCCAGCTGGAGAACCATTACCAACAAACAAGAGATACAATGCTGCCAAAATTTTCAGTCACCCTGATGTTGCTGCCGAAGAACCATGGTCAGAATTTAGCCGCATTTACGATGTCAAGATATTATTAACCGTTTGATTTTGATCGCACACATTAAAAAAAAGAAATTAACTTTTTTCGAAATACCAACTATGTTTGAATTATAAATAAATAAACCATGGTTTTTTCTTATAATTATTTATTGATTGTATGAACAGGTATGGTATTGAACAAGAGTATACTTTATTGCAAAAAGATATCAATTGGCCATTAGGTTGGCCTATTGGTGGATTTCCAGGAAAACAGGTATCAAAAATTTTTTTTTCTTTCTATATTTCTTTATTCTTTATTTTTCTATTTTTTTCTCATATCCAAGCTTTTTTTTTTCTGTAATAATTAGTTATTTGTATATTAAAAGGGTCCATATTACTGTGGAACTGGTGCTGATAAAGCTTATGGACGTGACATTGTTGATGCACATTACAAAGCATGCATTTTTGCTGGAATTAACATTAGTGGCATCAATGCAGAGGTTATGCCGGGTCAGGTAACACGATGATTTGTTATGCACGTGCATATAATATATTTATATTTTCAGTCGATAAAATTCGATAATTTATTTTATTGTATGTTTTACTACTATTTTATTAGTTTGTTAAAATACAATATTTTTAATTAGTTATATACATTTATTTTAGTGGGAATTTCAAGTTGGCCCTTCTGTTGGTATTTCTGCTGGAGATGAGATATGGGCTGCTCGCTATATTCTAGAGGTAATTTATATTTATATTTTTTATTGATTTATTTTCTATTTTGAAAGGTTACGTATGATTATATTATTTGTGAAAATCAATAAAAATATTGATGAACTTTAGTATTTTATATTATAGAGGATAACAGAGATTGCTGGAGTTGTTGTTTCATTTGATCCAAAGCCTATTCCGGTAAGAATATATATTTATTTAGTTGAAAAGTTGAAAAGTTGAAAAGTTGAAAAAGAAAGAATAATTTATTTCTTCATGTTGTTGACCTTTTATATTATTACATTGATGTTATCAGGGAGATTGGAATGGAGCTGGAGCTCATGCAAACTTTAGGTATAGTATTATGTTTTAAGACTATTTTGACCTAAGTAGATATTGCATTATACTTGTTATTCTTTGAAGTATATAGTCATTTTCTTATTTTCGCTATGTCAATTTTAGCACCAAATCAATGAGAGAAGTTGGAGGGTATGAGGTCATCAAGAAGGCCATTGAAAAGCTTGGATTGAGGCACAAGGAACACATTGCGGCTTATGGAGAAGGAAATGAGAGACGCCTCACCGGAAAACATGAAACCGCCGATATCAACACCTTCTCTTGGGTAAATCGAAATAAAAAAGCCCTAACTAAGAAAAATCTATACGCACAAATAAATCGAAATAAAAAAGCCCTAACTAAGAAAAATCTATACGCACAAATGTTTGTTTTTAGTAGTCCATTTCTTAAATGAGTTTCTATATTAAAAAATGTTAGTGAATTTTTGAACCCTAATATTTTAATTTGCACTATCTAAGTCCAAGATTTTTTTTGGTGTAGGGTGTGGCAAACCGTGGAAGTTCAATTAGGGTTGGAAGAGACACAGAAAAAGATGGCAAAGGTTACTTTGAGGATAGAAGGCCAGCTTCTAACATGGACCCCTATGTGGTCACTTCCTTGATTGCTGAAACCACCATTCTATGGAAGAAGCCATGAAGTTCCAACCACCATTGGTCTTTGGATTTACACGACTTGGTTTAATGAGTCTAATGCCATTTATATATTAATCTAGTTTATATCTATTATTATAATAATATCTATGACTATGCAAAAGTGTTACTTCATTTAGAAGTAATTTTCAAGTGGTCTTTAAGCAAAGAGTATTTGGTCCATGTATTTGGATTTACAATAATCCTATCATTAATAACATGTGGTGCTTCTTGATTTTTTTGTTTGATTTTATGGATCAATAATGCAATGTTTATTGTTTTGTACTCAATGTGTTGTTCTTTTAGGGAAAGCTAGACCATTTAAATGTTCTTCAATTTATGGTATGAAAATATTTGAAGATAATTAAAATTCTTTATTAGTAAATTATTATTTTTCTAGATAAAGATGAAAGAAGAACTCGAGTTTAAATAATAAAAAATATTTGTTTAGATTTTATTTACACTTCGTTGAAGCTTGAAATTTGAATTTAAAAAATAGGGAATAAGAGCAACAACAAGTTTAATCTTCTAAGATTAAAGAGGGGGATATTATCTTTTCATCCAAATCATTATATAATAGATAAGTTGAAATTCGAAGTGTGGGTTGAAAATTTTATATTCATTAGAAAAGTGAAGTTTGAATATTTTATAAATGAGAGGATAGGACGTATATCTAATGCCTTAAAGTTTTTGTGAATATGTGATGTCTCTCTTATTTGAGTGAATTTGATCACATTTTTTTAAGTTTTTACTGTCAGTATCCGATCCACTGAGCTGACTAATTCGATTGGGAGCGAGTTCTGACATCAATTGGTTTTACTCTCCTTGCAATAACAGTTGCATGGGATCAAAACAGTTACATGGGATCAAACCGTTATCCTCTATATCAAGTTTAATGTCAATTACCATTAGATCAACTAATATTTGATTGGATGAGTCCTCTTGGATCTAATGTGAATGCTTTTCCATTCTCATAATCATCAAGATATATGTATTTTTTTTTTAAATCTATCATTCTACTTATTCACTTGACTATGCGAGACTTAACTACTAACACTCAAACTTAATAATATTCTTATAAATGTGAGTTCTCAATTTTTATAATAGAATGCAACCTAAGATCTAACTTTCCTATTTTCACAAAGTCGAACTAGTGATATTACTTATTGAGAAGTTCAGAAAGTTAAGAACCAAAAAATAATTAATGATTACAAGGCATAATGATATTACTTATTGAGAAGTTGAGAAAGTTAAGAACAACATAACAATTAATGATTACAAGACAAAGAGACGTCACATTTATATAATACAATTAAGTATTTTTTAAATGATAATATATTGAATTAAATATACTTTTGGTCCCTATAAAATTACTTATTTGACTTTTGGTATCTAAAAAAACTTATGTTTTAGTCCATACAAAATTATTTATGCACGTAATTTTAGTTATGCAGAAAGACTAAATTATCATGCAAAAATAATTTTATAAGGACTAAAACATGACATCTTTTATAGGGACTAAAAATCGAATTTAAAATATTTATAAGAACCAAAAATATATTTAACCCTGATATATTAATACGAAATGTGAAAACTACCAATGATACAAATAAAAATCTAATAGGAAATAAACACCAAAACCAACAGTAACAACAAACCAAAACTAAAAGGAAAGGAAAAACACTCAAGGAGCTAAAAACCAACCCCTTAAGATTAATATTAGAGCTTAATCCATTAGAACCACCATCAATAGATCAGACTTTATCAAGACAAAACAAAACCATATACAGAACCTACCTTAGGAACAAGGTCCGCTATTGGTTAAGATAGAGGATAAAGCTCTAAAGTCAGCCATAATATGTGCATGAGTTCACTTCTAATGTACATAGAAACATTTATGAGTAAAAATACTCTTCTCCACCACCTTTCCAAATAGTTTAAATTGTAGTGTGTCAAATCATAACAAAATCTCCCTTTAGATTTGGTTGTACCACCTAAGAAATAAAAGACTTAAAAAGATGTCTATGATCACTAGGAAGAGTCATTTGCCAACCCAAACACTAGAAGATCCTATACCACACCAAAAAAAAACTAACTCACTTCTGACAAAGAGATGCGACAACAACTAAATTGAATCTTTGTAGAAGGACAAGGGATTCCTCTAGGATCAATAATCACCCCTATTTTATACATATTCTCTCTATAAGTGAGTATTGATAACGCAAAAATGCATAGCATATTCGAATCAATTTGCATAAATAAAATTACCGTTTTATCTCTATTATGTTGCATTATGTTGGTGTTTCAAGTGTGTTTCAGGTAATTATTTCATCCAGGTCTTCATGAGAAAAGGAGAAGAAATTGAAAAGAAACAGAGTCAAAATCAGAAAAACACCAGAAATAGCAGAATAATTCATATCAGAAGGTTGTGACGGTCATCACACCTTCCATTCCGCCGGGAAAAAGTTAAACTTGGGTATCCCTCGACACACAAGCCATTCTGATCAACACAAAGTGGAAATATGTGTGCCCTACGACACACATTGCATGCCACTCAGCATAAATTATTTTCTGTTTTGTATGACGCACAGAGATTTCTCCATGATTCCACGATTCTCCAGTACCAACGACCTGCATGATTTCCTCATGGTCTTTCTCCACACGGATTTTTTGAAGCATGAAGTCATGTTCCTAGATTTTCTCAAGCAGTTTTGTTACAGAAGAGGAATATACAATAAGGACAGTTATACCAATATCTCTCTCGTCTCCACTATCTCGTTTTTTTATTATATTATTTTGCACTTTCGTTTTTCCTTTCACGCCATTATTCCAGTTTCAACATTTCAGAGCTTTGTTAGAACTTAAGCAGATAAAACCTTCACCTAAGCAACAATAGTTTTCTACACCGGAAAACTATTGCAACATTAGTTTCTTTTCATAGCCTTCAGAACTTTATTTTTAGTTTAATATTTTATTCTGCATTTAAGTTATTTTTCCGCAAGCAAATCCTACCGGCATATTATGGAGGATTGCTACAAGTACTTAAAAGGATTGCATAATTCTATTTTCATTATTTAATTCCAGGTTTCTTTTAATTTAATTTTATTATTGTTCTTTATTTATCATTCATGTCTGAATCATTATATATTTGTTATTATTCTGTGTTCGTAACGAATAATATGTTCGACTAATTTTCCTGATACCGATATGTAAGGTCATGAACCGAAGGATTTCGGTAATAAATTGGCATAAATATTTTATGAAAATACTTTTCTGGTTTGGTTTCCAAATTTCAATATAAAACTGTTTTGTTACGTGAGTAAGAGACAAACTAAGGCTAAAACCAATAATCACGAGAGTGTGAGTTTTTAACCGAATAGTGGTCATCAAACATTATTTTTAAATAAAGCGAGAGCGATTTACGATTAATTTAATAATATAGTCCGAATAAACAATCACGAGAATGTGAGATAAAGGTTTTTAAACTGATAGTTTCTACTGAACAGTGTTTTGAATACTCAAAGCTATGCCAATGAATTACTAAATTCCCGAAGTCAGACTACTATGTACCAGTGTCTCGTTGTTAAATATTTTGATTAAATCTAACCGTATTTTTAGTCTACCCCAAAACCTAAGATTTATTAGCCTTAGCTTTACACAATAGCTTTAGATAGCAGTAATTCGATTACCAGTTCCTATGGTTTCAATATCTTTTAAAACTACGCGATTAAACTGTACAATTGCAGTTAATACACCTAATAGACTCTTAAAGTCGCCATCAAGTTTTTGGCACCATTGTCGGGGACTGATTTAGTCAATTATGCGAATCCTTTGTTATGCAGTATAGACTAAGGCAACAATTTTATTTCCTTTTTATCTGTTGACTATATGCCAAGCACTTGCTCTCAAGGAGAAAAATTAGAGAAACCAATCGACGAGGTCGAGCATTTTGTTAGTATAAGACACCAAATTAGAGAGTACCAATTAAGTATAATCTTCCCGCATTCAATCTTCCCGATTTATCTCTTCCTGAACCAAGAATGGCCGAAGGACCCCCAAAATCATCCTCTGAAGGATTATACTGCCCCATCGCAAGAGGAACCTCACAATAGCATTACTTCCCCCACTATTGCTCGGAAAAATTTCGAGTTGAAACCTTCGATATTATAAGATGTCCAACAAAATCAGTTTTCAGGATGTCCTACGGACGATCCGAATTTACATTTATCCATGTTTGTGCAGTACGCAAACACAATGAAAGCAAATGGTGTCAGCCCCAAAGCAATAAGACTTCGTATTTTTCCTTTTTCATTACGAGATAGAGCTAGAGCTTGACTCTAGTCTCTACCATCCAACTTTGTTACCACATGGAACGAATTGAAGAAAGTTTTCCTAGCGCGATATTTTCCGCCAAGTAAAACAGTTATGCTAAGAGCCAATATCAATGGTTTTAAACAAAAGAAAAAGTGAATCTCTCTTCTAAGCATGGGAAAGATACAAAGACCTGTTGTGACTTTGTCCATATCATGGTCTAGAATAATGGCTAATCATCCATACCTTTTACAACGGTCTCTTATACAACACAAGACTAACAATTGACACTGCAATTAATGACACACTGATGGACAAACCTTATCATGACGCTTAGAAACTTATCGAAAGTATGGCTCAAAACCATTACTAATGGGGAAGCGATAGAACCATTATAGAGAAACCTCAGACGAAAGGTGGTATATACGAAGTTAACAGTTTATACCAAGTTAACGCTAAGGTAGAAGCTCTTATCCAAAAGATAGAAAACTTGACTACAACTCTCGCAGCCACCATGGCTGCAGTAGCTCTAACCTGCAATTTATGCAGACTTCACACACATGTTGCGCATGAATGTCCACTTTTAACAGGAGTACCAGTTGATCAAGTGAATTATGCTCAACGAAACCCATACATGAATACCTATAATCCTACCTGGAAAATCATCCTAACTTTTCGTACAAGAACAACAATGTG